TGGGGGCCCACACGGAAGCCTCGCGCCTCGCGGCCGAGCTTAAATGTGATGAGGGGCGCAAGTACCAAACTGAGAGACTTGGCGCTGAAACGAAGCTTCCCTTTGCGCGCGCCTGGACGGCAACAGATATGAGAAAGGCCATGCCTCGCGACGCCCAGCGCGCGACGGTGCGCGAGGGCCACAAGGGGCGAAGAGTGTATATTGAGCCTGAGTGAGTGTTGTGTGGCTGCCCTCCTCACGCTGCCGCGCTGCCAAGAACAGGTGAGCTGACATGCGAGTGGTCGGAACGAGCAGGCAGACATACTTTGAGCCCGCGAGACGACCACGACCATAATGCGGGCTCGTGGCTTTTGCAAGGTCGACTAATTACACATAGCTAGTTACGCAGGAGAGGGCGCCACTGCACACGCCGGATGAGTGACACTAGGGGTATCGTGGCCATTTCTTCATGCCGCAGCTGCTGCTGCTGCTGCTGCTGCTGCTGCTGCTGCGCGGCTCTCTCTCTCTCGAGAGAGAGAGAGAGAGAGAGGTCTGCACGGCGTGAAGTGGGGGGGGGGGGTATATCTGGATCCGCACCGGACCGGTGCGCGGCCCGCCATGCCTGGCTTCTGCCTTTGGCTTTGGGCTGCCGGTGCGAGGAGGGATTCTGAGATGTGAAGGGCGCGCGAGAAAAGCAGAGGCTTGTGGTGCTTTCCCGTATTGCATGAAGAGAAGTGCGAGAGAGAGAGAGAGGGAAGAGTCGCGTCCTTTGTTCAGCCCCATGCAGCTTGCGTGGAATAGTTGACGATGAGATGCCCTTCTGTTCCGAAGCACTGGTCAAACGGCCCCATCGAGGTTTGTTGTCGAGGGTGGTAGGGTTAGATCGCTCGTCAGTATTGGAGCCAGCGTCTTGAAAGCCAGCCTTCAAAGCCAGCCCGTGCCTTCCTTGGGTGCTGCTTTGCTTGGCGCAACAGACTCCCCCCCCCCCTCGTCCATCAACCTCTGCGTATCCTCGCCTTATCCCCTGTCTCGCCATGTGTCTGCCTTGCAGCGTCCGTCACGCAACCCGCTGCAAAGACGAGCAAGAGAGGCAGGAAAAAAAGCAGCAGGGCAAACTTACGCGGTACAGATTGCCCACGGTATCATCGGGCGCAGGAGCAAACGAGGAGTTGATGTAGAGAAACTGCGGGAGCCCCGCGC